AGGATTCTGTATTGGAATGTATGGAAATTTAAGGGATGTTCATGGTTCATCATGTATTTATGATTGGCTCCTTTCCTGTTGAGTAAAGTCACATCTTGGAAGTACATGACCGAAAATTGCTGTGACAGTAGCTTAGCCCTCAGTACGAACAAAACCAGGCAAAATCCATTTACTAGAAAATTAATCCAGACGATGTAAGCTATGTGACTTTCAGCATTTAAACGCAAAATCCAGGGACTGTATTTGGTAGAAAATCGTGACAGTTTTTTTGGTTAGCTAGCCTAGTTTTATCGCGTTGTACTTTTATCACTTTTACAAGAAAACAAGCAATTACTTGGACGGAATCATCAGTCTTCCTTGTCTACACAGATATGGATTATATCAATTTGTGCTACACAGCATTCGAAGCTTTCGAGAAACTTCAAAAGAACATGACAGCAAAAATATACATTTATTCATACCAGGATACTTATACACTGCATTATCATATACATAGACTACAGACTTCGTCTCAATTGCATCGCGAGTGCTGCAGCATCGGATGCTGCCAAATCTCCTCAATTGTGATTCGCTTTTCTGGTTCAACGCACAGCATTCGGGACAGCAGATCCTGCATCAATTCCGACACCTCCCGTTCCATCCCCCACGCCGTGAATACTGCTTTAATACCACGCTTTGCCACAAATCGAAAGCCCGGATCAGATAGATCCGCGCGTTCAAACGGCGGTGATGACGTCAGTAAGATGAAAAATGCAATTCCTGTAGACCAAATATCTGACCGTCGGGGATCGTACCGCTCACACGCCACTATCTCTGGAGCCATATAATAATTCTTTCCTACCGTCTCTTCACAATAAAATTCGTTGTCTAACAAAGAGCCTGGTGCCGCCGATGCACACAATCCAAAATCTGCGATCACCGCGCGCCCCTGACGTAGCAAAATGTTTTCTAGACTGATATCTCGATGTGCAATGCCATGATTATGCAAGAAGCGCAATCCGGATAAGACATCTACTAAATACCGTTGCGCTACATGCTCTTGTAGTCGCTTCGACCCGTCCACGCCATTCAAAAGTGATCCGTCCATAGTAAAGTCTTGTTCAGGTCTTTGCTCGTGATGTGCTTCCACGGCCTTCAAAATAATAGCACTGTCTTTCTGATTTCCATCGCAAATGCCACTGCTGCTTTGACCATCACAAATCTTTTCAACGGGTGGCTGCACGCACGCGTCTAACAAATCACCTCCCTCACAATAATCAAGTACAATATGCAGCACTTCGCCGCCCTCGACAACATAGTAGCTGTGCATATTAATAACGTTTGGATGTCCACCCATCGCACGCACGCGATTTAGCACCTCCACTTCGTGTAGCACATTCTCCTGCGCAAGCATTTGCGAGCGCGAAAGTTGCTGTAACGCTAGCTGTAGATTAACAGTCTTCACCACCACACGCTCACCTGTGACCCAGTCGTGGCACAACATAATGTCACCAAAAATAGCTGCGCGTAATGACATGAGCGTCTCATATCGGCCCATGCTCTTAGCAACGTGGGTACAAATGTAGATACTTTCAACTATGGAGGCGAGAGTTCAACCACGCGAGACCTTCGGACAAAAGTGGCAGCAAACGAACCAGAGAGACTCTTCCAACAATGAATGAGACTGCCAAAGGTTATGTCAAGGAGACAAGAAAAAACAGACGCTTTTACAGCTGGTAAGTAAAAGGCCAACTTTGTATGTATCAAAGGCTCTGCACTTGTGTTTCTCGATAGTCTGTTAAGCCAGCAGGCAAAGCACTTGTGGACTAGGTGGCGAGTTATGAAGTGCAACTTGCAGCTTGTTGTTGACGTTCGTGTTGGGTGCTACTCTTGTCTTCTTTCGCCGACGTGAGTCAGTGTTTACCGTTTCGTGATTTGCATACAATTATCTTGTGGGCTAGTAAAATTTTAGAAAATAGCCGTTGAATCTTTAAAAAAAGGTTGGCAAGTGGAACGAGTAGTGCTTAATATTTAGCGATTTAAATTGTCATCTTTCTACTAAGACGGGTGCTATAATTTTTGCATTTTTATACGTCTGTATAACGTGTAAAGACAGCATGAGTTTATGTCGTCTACTTGACATATTGTAAGAAACATATTTAAAATATTGAAATGGTCAGCTTAAGTTCGCATGAAACTGTCATGTGAGAATCATAATTGTGTATGCAATAATTTGTTAGAGAAAGCTTGTTTCTTTGATCACGCTGCTACTTGGACGCTCGATAATGAATAGTGATATCGTCACGACATCCGCCCCTAGAATGGTGTTAGGGGTTCACAGTTCCATATGCGTCAAATTTTACAGCGAATAAAAATGTCGTCACATGTCACTGGACATGTCAAAGATGCAACCGCATGTATATCTATTTTTCAAGGAGTAGATTGTTCATTATTGCAGTATTTTGACAAACTACTTTAATTCATAGAATATTGCGTGATCATGAGTTTTACAAGACATTTCAACTTTTGACATTTTACACTTGATCAAGAATGTAAGGAAGACAAACAGTTTGACGGTCAAATAATGCTCAGTCGAAGAGAATTGTAATGCTTTGTCAACAAATATGTGGGCTTGATGTCTTGAAACAAATCCAATGCGTGTTACATCCAAATAAGTGCACATTCCAGCCTTTTTTCCATCCCAATTTTATTGTCGACTTTGACTCAGAAAAAGGAAATTAATGGACAATTCTCGCTGTGCAGAATACCATTTAATCTAAAATGTCGACATGCTGGGTTTGGCAAAATATACGCGTCCTTTGAACTAACAACAACACGTCCAACCACCCAAGCAGGTTTGCTGTCTAGCTCTAGAAGCTCGCTGATGAAAGCATTGGCGTTCTCTGCAGGCAGACAAAGCAGCAAGTCACCCGAAGTTTCGGCCGCAAAACCTTCCAGCAACCTAAAAGTGTTTCGAATCGCCTCGTTTACTTTAGCCATATTTTTGATAATTGGAAGCGTGTGTAGCTCAAAGGATACATCTTCTCGCTGTGATTTGGCTTGATTGCGCGCGTGGGCAACAATTCCGAAGCCCGTCACATCCGTTGCCGAGTGCGCACCATACTACAGCAAAGACCATCTCATCACGAACCAGCAAAGCGGAGTTACGTAGGCCAGCTGGTACCCAACTTATGCATCAACCTGGCAGCATCAAGATTAAGTCGACACATGGACTCGGATGCTGTTTGAAAAGCAATATCGGCATCCTCTGGTGTCAAAACACTTTCTACCGTTCCGGCTTTTTCTTCCACTGAAAAAGATTTACTGCAACCTGAGTTCCAAGAGGCTTGGTGAGACCCCCGCCACTGCATTCTCTGGACGAATAGTCTGACTCTCTACGAGTTCATTAAGCACTTCATCAGCGTATCACCATTTCAATGTACAAATGAATCAGTCACTGCTCATATACCACTCCGTACGCTCATAGCGACGCCACCGACAAGCGGCCAAGGGTTCATGACAGTCTGTCCGCCTGTGACGTTTGTTTGCGCCTGATGCGCTTAGTCATTAAAGCCACGAATCATTTGTGTAGTAACAACATCACGCTGTTTATCGGTCATGTCAAGACAAACACCGAGAATCATTAGCAAGGTGTCCACCTCGGTGACGCCCATAGCAAAGACATCCGAAAGCACGTTGGCGCAAGCGATCTTTCCCTGAACGTACGGATCTTCAACCGAGGGATTGAAGAAGTCGGTGATAGACACCAGATAAAGATTCGTACCATGTGCAATCTTGACCACGCTCAAATCCATTCCTGGAGTCTCGTTTGTCTTGAGGTCGTTGGCAATATCATCTAAGTAGTCTAGCAGCTTGGCTTGTGGGAGCTTGCAGTCACAGCCTTTGAGCAAGCTGTACATTAACAATGGGTGCGACCTCCAGCGTGGTATCTATAATAAGGTTGTCGTGCACCTTGCACAGAGAAAATTTAGACTCGAAGAGTTCGCGTTAACTGATGGCTGGTCAGGATGAGTCACGAACATAACGTATCATCAAGGACGTACACATCACACGTTTGTCCCTAGAAGCGATGCTTGTAGGTGACAAGCAAATATGTATCATGACAAGTACTTAGTACTGATAAGGGTGATTGTTTTTCGTGATGAAGAGGTCCGCAGGACACACGTTCTACCAATCTTGCTAGGCATCAAATCAGGTGATATAATGATAGATAGTAAAATAGGTATCAGTATTTTTTGCGCTAGACTCGATTCTGGATATATAACTTAAAATCTAGTGCAAAACAAGAGTTTGCTGCTTGATAGGCTCACTAGCACATCACACAAAGACAGCTTTGACTTTAAGTGACCGCATAAAAATAAGCACAGCGAAGGGGCTCATACGCAGTGTTGGATTTTATTAAATTACAGAAGATGGAGCAAGAAGTAAGTACATCCAAAAACAATCATGTTCACACCTACATAGTCAATATTCTTAGCTCCTTATAGTATTTGATATTACTATAAATAAGTACAAATTCGCTTCAGTGCCAACCTAGCATGTGCGTTTGGAACATCGCCGTGCCTCGCCTGCACATCTCACCTCATGGCGAGGACCACAATGGCGTTAAAATTTCCGAGTTCTATAACTGCAGCAGAAAGTCAACGTGTATAATCGGCTGTTCTGCCCACAAGCCATCCATCGAGCCTTATATCAGACGACTTTGCTATTTGCGTCGGTCTCGGTCCTGTACATCAATTATGTGTGAAGTTTGAGGGATAAAACAATCTCTCAGAACTTGATCTCAATTGATTAGTGCAACTCTTCAAATACATGCCTTGATTCACTACTCCTCTATGTGTTCCGCATTCCCTATTCAAAAATGTTCGGATCTAAATGGAAAACAAGGTTCGCCATATCTTGATATTTACTTTCCAGAATTTTTTTGGGGGGATCTCAATTTTGAAATCTACTGTATTTTTCTGATTCAACTGCAAATTACAAGTGGTTTTATTTCTTTCCAAAACTCGCATGCTTCTTCTAAGCTACAACATCGTCGGAATAGTCCTTTTGTGTGCGCTGAATAATCGTATATACATCAACATAGGTCCAAACTTATGCTGAAAATGCAAATATGATGTTGCATTGACACAAAGCAGAAACGCATATATTCGTTTAAGGTGATTTACTGTTAGCACCAGAACTCGCTCGCGTGGTCGATCCAGAAAAATCGATCAGTATACCAAATGCTGCTGGATCCACTGTCCAGAGTTTAAATATTTTCCTATTGTCATCTTTTTAATTGGCAGTGTAAAATTGACCACACTCGCGGTGGGAGTCAGCCGCCTTCGGATAATTCATCCATTCTCTTTCACGAACGATCGAGCCATTTCTGACAATTTTTGTACTATTCCAATCATGCAACTTTGGCACGAGATTTTTTACTATATCGCAACTAAAGTGTCAACGTTAAAATTACGACCTCCGTACGTCAAGCAACATGTGCTAAAGCTTGCCGAGCAAAGTATGCACAGTGTATACTTAATCTCGATAAGTCCATCATTTCAATGCTAGAGTTAGAATAATAAACCATGACTGAATTTTCCGCTCCTCCGCAAGTATTACTCACAGCCAGCACCGATAAGTTTTGCTTTATTCAGCTGCGGTGCGCACTTTTTGCCAGTGGACAATTTTCAGGTATTTTGGCCTCAAATTTTAGCAATCAGCGCAGCATTACATCGTGTAAAGTTGAGGTCTCAAGTCACCACGACTTGGCGGCGATAACATCGCTAGATGTTCATGCCGATTGAAGGCTCGGATCTTCTGAAGCTCCCCTCCCCGCTGTATGAGAAATGCTACTAACTTCTTAGTTAAGATCGTTTTCAGTCAGAAAAAAATCATTAAAAAGGCAGAAATTCTAAAAATTCTTTGTGAATAATCAAACCGAGGAACTTCTGCTCTCCCTCAGCACTATCGTCAAAAGCTTAACGAATAATGATGACCTCAGCTGCTCTAATCGGTGAAGTTAAAACAACACATCTTGTCGTTGGCTGATAACCGGATATATTTGTTAGAGCAGCCCTTGAAGGCTAGGAGGTGAAATCAGGTGTGAATAAATTTACTTGATCTTGTCTACATCAACATGGTCACATACTTAGCGCCTTGTGTAATATTCGCTTCGCCATCGCTTCGGTCATAGACGTCCTGACGTCGCACTAGCAGTATTGTAATAAGCTACACTAGCCATTACATAAAGATACATCTATCTACCTTCTGTATATATTGTGGAATTTTCAAGGATATGCAGATGAGAAAGATGTTTGGATCAGCTAAACACTCACTATGAGCCCAACCCATCGCACTATTCACAAGGTTAAACATCGCAAACAACGCTTGCTGCAAGGGGTCTGGCAGTTGTCTTGCAGTGATTGCTGCATCCAACTCGACAAACCATCCTGAGAAAGGCTCGTTCTTTCCACCACGGTACAGAGACACGTTCAGCCTTGGAGTCATCGTTCTAACGCGACATTTTAAAAGACAGATCTCTTCCACGTAGGAACCAGCATTCTGTACCACACAATACGCTTGTGATTTCATATATCATATCACATATGCATGTGGTGCATCATTCCGTAATCCGTTTCGATATATATATAACTTGAATGCATGCAGAAGGTACATACATAGATGTATCCTCATGTAATGGCTAAGTGTAGCCTTTTACAGAGACTACGTCGATTTCACTCAGCTGAAATTGCTCACTGTTGAATTTTGTACCTTAATCTATGATTGATAAATTTTTAAGTGCCACGATAACCTAACCAATTATATATTTGAAATCACCAATTTACGCGATAATTTACCTGCAGAGGCAATTAATTTAAGTCACTTGAGTCGAACAAAGTGGTTTGGAAGGTGACTCAATCGATTGCCAAATCCCAATGGAAACGAAGACCTTCGTCCATCGTCCGAACCATACACGAGGGTTGACACTCTCATTCCTAGTTACACAATATCCAACCATCCTTCTCGAGCACCACCAACATTCTTGGGTGTTAATTTGACCAGTGATTTTGACATCACCGTGAGGCACTCCAAAAAGGGACACTCTTTACACGGTCGTACTGAGCGACCACAAAGTTCAGTAAATAGTGGTGTCGGCAGAGCATTAGTCGGGATGACAGCCGATTGATTCTTTGACGGTACATAGCAACCTTGATGTTGATATTCTTCCCGTGATCACGGATAAAGTGTACACTGATATCGACGTGCTTCATCCTCGCAGTGTTACTGAAAATTTATGGCAATGCTGATTGCCTACTTGATGTCTGCGTAGAATGTCGAGTGGTCATGATGATTGTTGCCAATCATACCAAGTAGGTAGCAAAACCACAAAACTTCTTGAGCCGCCAGGGCCAATGCCATGTACTCAGCTTCTGTTAGTGACAACACGACCGGCTTGTCTTAAAAATAACATAACCACTGTTGAGCTACAAGTTGTCGAACGACGTGTCGCCGTCTCGCCATCCCTTGTACCTTACTCATGACCTTGATGCCTATCGCTGCTATTCCTTTCAGGTAAATGGATCGCAACGTTTTGATGCATCGCCTGAGGCTGGTCTACGTACCATAGAAGGATAGACGTCACGACACTGAAAGTCGGGCGTGTTGAATTGGATACATACAGAAAAAATTCAATCAGTTCGCAGTGCACCTTTGCCTACTCAAAATGAAGATGCGTGTTGTTCAGTGCGAGATCTTTACTCACCACATCCGTTTTGTTCAGTGCGAGATCTTCACTCACCACATGCGCGTTACAAACTGGATCAACATCGACTTGGCCAAAACGCCCTATCCTGCTTCCGCAAAACAAATTGTGTTTGCTTCAACGACAATCCCCCTTGCTGTCAATTGAGTGGACTTCTATTTTTAAGGCAATCAATCGTCACTCAGAGACTTGACTGTAAATTGAGATGTCATTTCCACGTGAAAAATTTGACTTGGTCGCTTGACTTGCTTCTAGCCAAAAAATCATCAACGTTGACTACAACCGATACCGAAGCTTGGTCATCATCATTTATCGTAGTCGCTACGAATAAAAAAACGGATCCGTAAGATATAAGTCGAATCTTAATTTTTAAACATTACATGAATGATCTCGAACCACATAGTTGGTGACCACTTCAATCCTTACAGACTGCGACGAAGCTTGGGCAGAGAACCTGCAGCAGCTCGGGGTCCTTGTGGTACGTCCGTGTATTCGTCATCCTTGAGTTAGCTATTCAGAAACGCTGTCTCAAAGTCAAATTGATGAATGATGATGTCGCGACGACAACGCTTAGGCTGAAACGCACGGATAGTGTTGTGACTCGCAACGGGTGAGTGGGCTGTAGTGTTACCAAGACCGATGCTTGTAGATACTGACGCAACAGGTTGGGCTTTTAATCTCGTGAGGTTCCCGTTTCCATCATATTTGAGGGCAAAGAGCCATTTCTGACCAATCACCTTGACTCCTTTAAGACGGCACACAATATCCCACGTACTAGTGACTTGATTTCAATCCAAATAGCATCATTCCGCTTGTTTGCATCGGATAATGACATCCCTACTGCATACGTTCGTTGCATTTATAGTGATTTCATACTCATCTGAGCCTTTGCCGCTTGCTCTCCGACTCAGAAGGTTCATCGTCAACTTCAGAATTATCTGTGAGCCGAGGACCACTCGAACGGTCATTTGTGATGAATCATGAGTGCCAATTCGAGGCAAATCAGTAAGTCATTGACCAGCTTCAAATCTTGTCATGTTGGATCGCGTTGACCCTTCACCGAACACATGTCGATCTGCCTCGATAGTTGCAGTCGGCAACATGGAATCGGACCGTTTTGCCAATTAGATGAGCATAAACAGGGATAGTAATAAGTGGAGTTGGGTTTCCCTTCATACTCAGGGTGACAACATCTTGATGAGACCACGTTTCTGCGAGTTAGTTCAGACCTGAAGTGACATATACCGGGTATATCGTTAAATCCTCGTCATCGTTACCACCTCGGGCCTGAATCCTCTCAACATCCAATGATTTTGGATTATGCAGGCTTGGTGGGATTCAAATGTCATCCACGATATCGTTGTCAACGGTCAGTCTTCATGTCGTCGCTGTGCTCGCGGTCTCAAACAGGGCAACATTGTCATACAGAACAGTGAGTCGCTCATCAATAATCACACCACGCGTCGTCACCAAGCGCTCATCATCGTATGCCAAACACAAAAACCCTCGACTCTTTAGCGTACCCCAAAAATAAAGGGTAATGCGCCATAGCCTCCAATTTCGATATCGTGCGCTTTTCAGCATGTAAAACTATCTACGAACCAACCACACAAAGGTGATCAAGATCTTGCCTCTGTCTTGCGAGTACTTGTCACAGACTCGAGTCCGGCCATGCAATAAAAATTATACGATTGAATTGAGATACAATCGGCATCATCACATCCCACCACCTTTCTATATTCATTTGCTTGTACTAAATACACGCACGCGTCGCTCCACCAGGAGTACACTTCATCTGTCCTGCGATGCCGTTCTGTCATGGAGAGTAGAGAGCAGGCGTTTGGTGCACGATATCAGGCAAGGCACATAATTTGCTGAACGCCTCGCTGGTGTACTCACCACAGTTCGGATCTTATACACTTGACTTGAAGCCTAAGCGTCTTTACAAGAGCCTTAAACGCTTTGTAATTCCAACACTTGAGACCTTGACGTAAGCGAGTACATGAACACCACACGACAAGAGTCATCAATGAATGTGTTGTGTAGTGGGACAACTCAGGAAACATTAAACAATGCTTGTGGCGGGCGTAGGTGTTGTTGCAACAATCCCACAGATATATTGAATACGATACGTTACAGTGTACGTCCCGACAGGGCAAGTGAACGTTGCCCAGAAGTTGCATCCTCTCATTGCCGGTTTGGTAGCCGATCCTCTTCCAGAGGCGATCACAGTAAGTACCGATATGAATGACCTCCGCACTGGCGTGGCCAGAATGGAAGTTTTCCGTATGTACCCGTCTCCTCGCGAAGAAGCAGTGATAGTGACATTGAAGGCCGAACTCAACTTTACGTCGGCACGACTTGATTGGAATGCATACTCAAGCAGCTCGTCGAGCGGGCCTATGCCGATGGATCTCAGCTATGCTGAAAAAGAGGAGGCAGAGCTCCGAGCAGCCAAACAGCGTTCGAACACCCGACGGTGCTTTGTCTGTGGAGACACCCATCACCTTCGGATTGGTTGTCCCCAGCGCAAGGTGCTTCAAGGTTCCTCGAACCGACATACCGCTTCTTACCAGTCTTTTGGTTTGTCGCGGGAGATGACAACGCCCGGTTGGTGCAGGGCGGCTCATTAATGAAGAACGAAGTTCTGTTGAGCCTCAAGGATGTATAGGTCAGCAGAGCCCAGCCCCGATGAGCTCCGTGCTCTTGAACACGGAGCGTGTATGCAAGCCGGGTTTGCTGGTCGTGGAAGCGACCGTGAAGGGCTAAACACCCACATTTTGTGTCCAGAAAGCGAACGTCAAGTTGCGTACTGTTTACACTTACAATAAGCTCAATGCTGCCACCCTTCCGGCACAGACGCCGATTACTAGGAAATATGTTCTCCATAACAATATGGTTGGATGTACAAAGTACAGTTCACTCGACTTGGTCAATGGGTATTACCATTTGCTCACGAGAGCGAGCTATATTCCGCTGACGGCGGTGAGTACTCCGAGCGGCATGCACTGAGAGTGGCTGGTGATGTCTTAAGGGCTGTCAATTGCAACAGCAACATTTGATCGTCTTGTGACGCAATTGTTCAGATCCCATCGGGTGTATGCACAGGCATACTTCGACGACATCTTCGTCTATAGTCGTGCGAAGTTGGGGGTGACGGATGAAGAGAACCACATCGTTCATATAAGAGCGGTCTCGAGAGCATGCACACAAATAAGTTGTATGCTAATGCAGACAAGTGCATCTTTGGCGCAGAAGAAATCCTTTTTTTCGGGTGCCTCAACGGGAAGCATTGCCTTCGAGCGGATCCCGCTAAGGTCAAGGCCATTGTGGACGGCCGGTCTAAAAGCCAAAAAGACTTGCGCAAGTGGCTTGGCCTTGCCAACTACTTGCACAAGTACAGCGAGAACTTCGCAGTAATGACACGGTCATTGTCGAGAATCCTAAAGAAGGATAGAGAGTGGTGTGGGGACACCAGGCATTGAAAGCCTATTAATGGGGTTAATGACAGCCTCTTTCATGCACCAATATTGGCGTTGCCAGACCCTGATCGTCGTCTGTGAAGCTTCGGACCTTGTCATCGGTTGTGCACTAGACAGTGAGGGGCGAGATCAGGTGATCGCGTTCGAATCTTGGCAGCTTAAGGCTGCAGATAAGAACTACCCGATTCACGACAAAATTTACTTGCGATGAAGTATGCATTTGTCAGGTTCAGGGTTGACCTGCTCGGCTCCACGCCGTTTATGATCTACACAGATCAAGCGCCCTTACGCACTGCGACTCAGTCGCCTCACCTCTCGCGGAAGATGACCTAGGTTTTTTTTTCTTTGCAGAAGATATGGTTGGTTTAGATATGGTACGAATTTGCATAATAATACCAAAACATGTAAATAAAAGACGCAAATAAATAGAAAAAGATACGATACTGTGATTCGTAAAACTGTATGGCTTGATATTGCTCACGCAAACCAAAATATGGTACTTAAATGCTTAATTTTGTTGAAAACATGGTACGAAAACATGGTTTAAATAATAGTATGGTACGAATTTGCATAAAAAATACCAAAACATGTAAATACAAGACGCAAATGAATAAATATTCTGTGATTTGTAACAAAGTATGGGTTGATATCGCTTGTACAACCAAAATAAGGTAATTAAATGCTCAAATTTGTTAAAATATGGTACGATAATATGTTTTGAATGAAAATATGGTACGAATTTGCATAAAAATACCAAAACATGTAAATACAAGACGCAAAT